ACCCTAAACTCTAAACCCAAAGGCTCTAAGCGCAAAACCTGAACCCTAAACCCTAAACTCTAAACCCTAAACCCTCCAACCTAAACCCTAGACCCTAAACTCTAAACCCAAACCCCAACCCTCAAAGCCATAAGCCCGAGCTGCAGGTCAGGCCCTTCGGCCCGTCTCGCATCCGCAGGCCGCGGACGCCGAGACTCGGAAGATCCTGCCATCGGGCATCATTCGGGTTTAGGGGCTTTGTCGGTTTAGGGCTTTGAGAGTGTATACAGTTTTAGGGTTTTGGGGTTTAGGGCTTATAGGCTTTAGGGTTTAGGGTCGCTTGGGGTTCAGGGTTTAGGGTTTAGGGCTTGGGTTTAGAGCTTATATGGTTTTGGGCTTATAGGGTTTATAGAGTTTATAGGGTTTATAGGGTTTATAGGCCTCATAGTGTTTAGGGTTAAGCGGGTCTAGCTTCGGGGGTCCAGGCTGTGTTGTTAGCTCGTTGGCGAGAATTTCCTGCGATAAGGCTGTGTCAAGTGCATCGTATTATGTCGATGAGCTGTGAAAGCCTGTCTATTGAATGGCTTTTTCTTCTTTCTCCCCCACCCCACGCCGTATAAGGCGGCCAAAACACCCAAACCTCTTTAGGCTTAAAACCCTAAACCCTAAACCCTAAACTCATTGCCACCACCTTTTACAGCGTGGCAAAGCAGGAGGGCCCTTAGCACTGGCCCGGACGGCCCCATGCCCTGGGAATCTGCTCGGTTGCTGGGTCCGCTTTTGCAGCGGCTAGGGTTTAGGGTTTCGGGTTTCGGGTTTCGGGTTTAGGGTTTAGGGTTTAGGGTTTAGGGTTTAGGGCTCACAGTAGGGTTTGGACATTGGGACGACAAGTACTGGTCCCGCACGGCCACAGGGGGCATGATCGTTGCGGGGGGGCTTAAGCGCCGCCCACAGTAGGTGGGCGCATGCCTTGAGTTTAGGGTTCATGGCTCAGGGTGGGGGAGGGAGGATCGGGAATGGTTTTATTGTTTTTGTTAAAGGGCTTGGGGGGCCAAGAGGCTCGAACTTTTCTGCGTCTGGGGTGGATTTGCGATTGATGGGCAAATTTTGAGTTCAGGCTCTCAGCACTAGGGTGAATGAGCAAGAAGAGCAACATATGTAGGGTTTATTCCGGGGCATTGGAATCTCTGGGAACGCCCAAGCCCACCACCAAGAAATACCCCTATAAATAGAACAAGGAACCGCCCAACTAGCAGTTGTAATTATTCAGGCCCCTATATTCCTGTACTCTGAAACCACCTTTCTTAGGTTTTGAGGTCTAGGATTTAGGAGTTCCGGGTTGGGGAGAGATCCGTATGAAGAGAAACCATGACCGTAACCATCCATAGCCTTAAACAGGATTGCGGAAAAAGACAACAGAGTACCAAAGAGCTGTCAAGCAAACCCTAAAACCTAAACCTTTTTGGGTCTCGTGGTCCAAACCCAGACGCTATCCAGGACAAAAGGCAACATGGAGGGGTCGGAATTATCACAATATCCCCCACTGGTGATGCAGGGGTTTAGGCCCTAAACCTTTAGGGTTGTAGGGTTTAGGGTGATTCTTAGGCCCCTTACAGCTCCTTACAGCCCAAACCCAGGCTCCTCATGTCAATGCAGATACCCTACATCTAAATCCTAGACCCCGAATCGAAACGCTAAACCTTAAACCCTATATAAACCTTAAGCCCTATAAACCCTAAAGCCCAAACCCCAAAGCCTAAACCCTAAACCCAAGCCCGGTAACCCCTGGACCTTCCCTTATAACTCCTATAAACGTAAACCCTCATAGCTAAATCTATCACAATACTCTCGTAAAGCTCTTGAGAGCCCTTGTAGAAGCCTTCTAGAACCCTAAATCCTAAACCCTGATCCTTGACATACCCTAAGCTGAACCTCTTCACGACTTTCAACAGGGAGGAAGCCTCCAGCGCGAACCACGCGTCACCGCCTCCGGCCGTGCTTCCGTCTCCGAAGGCATTGCACTGGAGCCACCTTGACTTTTGCTTTAGGCTTTAGCTTTTGGGGTTCACGGCTTTGGGCTGTTAGCGCTTGGGGCTGCTAGGGTTCGGGGTTGGACCTTGCTTGTAATCTACTTGGAGGCTCATGGGTAGTTATAAGTGGTGTTGTAAGTGGGGTAACTATACTTACAACCCATATTCGGGGACTAATAACCCTACTTTAATCTACCCACCCATGAACCTCCAAGTATACTAAGACCTTTTCCCCAAAACTACCAGCAGAAATCGTCTACGCAGACCCCACCCATGAGCCGAAAAGAGGAGGAGCGCAGAGAAAAGACCGGTAGCCTCGCGCTACTCTCGGCGCATCCGGCATCGATGCAGGTCTGGAGGAACTTCTCCTCGTAGAAGAAACAGCTTAGGGGGTTCGGGGTTTTAAGAGGCAAAATAACTTAGGGGATTTAGAGTTTGCAGTTTAGTGCTTAGGGTGTAGGGCTTCGATATGAGGAACTTCTCGTTTTGCATGCAATAACTTGGGAGTGTTAGGGCTAAGGGCTTAATGCAGTTCCTCCGCTTATGCATATATTTGAAGGCTAAGTATAGAGTAGGGCTTAATCCATTGTATGCTAAGCTGCAATTTAAACATGTGTGGGACTATACGACAATTATTGGTATGTATGCCGACCACGGTGTTTGGGGTTCAGGGTTTAGAGTGCAACAGCGAGATCATAAGATGTCACGGGTAAGACAATCACAGGCCTAAATGTTGAATCTCTGGACATTGCGACTGTCCCTAAACCCAAAGCCCTAAACCACTGAACCCTAAACCCGAAACGCAGGCGCGGCCTCCATGGTCATCTTCTGCAAAATCTCCTGGATTTTGGCCTCATCGCTTTCCGGGTATCCTGGCCAAGGAAAGACGGCTCGCGGGTTCAGGGTTTAGGTGGTCTGGCGTAATGTAGCGGCCTGAACAGCGAGAATAAGTTTTAGGTCGTTTGGGAGCATGTTATCGCAGAACTATATAAGGAGCTATAAAAACTGCGTATATTTGTGAGAGACTGCGGGGAGGCAAATGAAGTCTTGTGCAGAAAGCGTTGCAGCCAACACTAATTAACACCGGGGCCTGAATCTCTTAGCCCGATGATGATCTCGAGCATCCCCCGAACATGCCAGTTTATCACGCTCGGGCCGAACATTGACAAGCGTCTCTTGAATGAACCTACACGTGATCAAACGGCCTGGAGCTCATCGTAGGGCTTTAGATATTCAAACTTGGGTTGCTTTTTCTTTCACGTGAGCACGCGGCTCAGCTATCGTTTTTGGCATTTCACGTTATCCCTGGACAGTCAGGCTGACTGCATGCTTTGTGACAGTGTGTTTAATGTAGCGGCCTTAAAAATTAGAATCAGAATAGTTTCGGAGTTTATTATGCTATGCTTACAAAATTGAAGCCCCAAAATAGTATTGGTAATTATTTAGGCCCCTATAGTAACAACAAAGGATTCTTGAACGGCACGGGACTAAGGCAAAGGCTTCGCTTGACACTCTGCTGCCAGCGGTATGGGGCACGCACCCCGGAGGCCCGAGGAAGTTCCAAGCAACCCAGCCACGGTTTAGGGTTTAGGGTTTAGGGTTTAGGACAAATTCACACGACCACAAAGTATAGACGTTTCTGTGCGACAGAAAGGAAACCGAGAAACCCTAAACCCCAAACCCAAAGCCCTGAACCCAAAAAGCCACAAAACCTAAACCCAAAGCTCTAAACCCAAATCCCTATGCGTCTGCCCCGGGAATGCTGTCGCCTAAACCTGCGGGTTTAGGGCTTGGGGTTTGGGGGTGGGGTTTAGGGTTTAGGGTGTTTTTTAGGGTTTAGGGTTTAGGGTTCGGGGTTTGGGGTTGGGGTTTAGGGTTTAGGGCCTAGGGGTTACCTTAAGCTACCAAAACCCACCTTTTTGTAGGGTCCCTATGAATTCTGTGTTGGGGTTTACCATACGAACCTACAAACAAAATAGGTTCTGGTAGCTTGAGTTAGGGCTTAAAGTTTGGGCTTTGGGTTTAGGGTTTGGGGTTTAGGTTCGTGGCGAGTTCGTTTTGATGAGTAGGTGTATACAGAATTAACTGGGTTGGCCTTTTAAAACCTCTGAAAACCCATGAAAAAGCTCCTGAGGTCTGGAACCTTAAACCCAACACCAAAACCCCTGAACCAAAAATCCGAGAATCTGTTAGCCCTACAAGGCCCTTACCAAAGCCCCATAAGCCCGTGCGGATTCCTTACCCGAAACCCTAAAGCCTATACCCTAAATCCTCAAACCCTAGACACGAAAGCCTGCACCCTAAAGCCGAAACACTTACAGGAACCCCCCTTTTCCAAGTATTCACATCCCCTTGTTTAAACCCTCCTTCACCTGGAGAATTGAAGTTTGAAACCCAAAACCCAAAAACTGAACTTCCCTAAACCCTTATAAGCCCTTATAGACCCGTATAAACCCCTATAACGTGGAGTGATTACAATAGGGTTTTTGGTGTATCTTATACTATACTTCCATTGAGGAACTCCTGAAACGGTGTTGGAGGCCCCTATAAAAAAAAAAACCTGAACCCTAAACTCAACTTCACCTGGAGCCGCATGTGAGCTGGAGAGCAGGGCCGCTAAGATCGCGGAGGCGCCCCGGCTTGGCATGGCGAGCGTTTCTCGAGATTGAGCTTTAGGGATTAGAGCTGCCCCTCACTAAAAGGGTTTAGAAAGGCTCCAGAAGGGCTCTATGAAGGTTAGTCATGTTAGTGCGGGAGATAAGGGTTCAGGGTTCAAGGATATAGGGTGCTTCAGAGGGCTAGTAAGGGTTTGACTAGATAGCTTCCTGGGATTCTGGGTTCTTTGGGCTCTATGAGGTTGGCTAGGGAGCTTAGGGCGTCTGGGGAAGGTGGGGGGGCCTTCGAGGGCTTATATATGGGTAGTCCTCTAAATTAGGTTACCCTTTTAGGTCCCCACTATATAGTAAGAGTCCCTATAGATTCCATGTTAGGGGTCATAATAAGAACCTACAATAAAGTAGCCTTTTCGGTTTAAAGCTTTGGGTTTAGGGTTCCGGATGTTCGAGTTGCCTTCAGGGGTTCAGTTCCATGACTACAGCGGCTACAGCACAGTCTAGGTCAGGGTGCAAGGTTTAGGGTTTAGGGTTTAGGGTTTAGGGTGGTAAGCTGATCGGCGCAAAGTAATGAGCTCCGGCTTTGAGCACAGCAGGCATGCACATACATCGCATGGCTGCTTCCTGAACACCTCAACCTTTGATTGATAGTGACGATGTGGCGAAGTTAGAGGAGTCATTGTAGAATGGCGCCAGATTAAACTTTTGCTGCATAGGAATGGAAATATGAGTGAACAGGCGGAAGCTCAATGCATCACCGAATCGGCCAGCACGATCCACCAAGCTGCTTATCGATAGACCGAGTTATCAACCTGTGACAATTCAGAGGCACGCTGATGAATTGCAGGGTATTCGGCTCTCTGGGTATTTGCTTCCAAATATGCGCATCGCGTAAGTCGATGCGCGACGTCGGTGAGAGGCGCAGCAAGGCAGCAAGAGCCAAGCTAAATATGCAGGGTGCAGGGTTCTAGCATTGGGGGCTTGCTGCTGCACGTGCAAGACCCAAAATCCCAAGCAGTTCCACGTTTCCCCAAATCAGAGTCTATGAGCTCGGCGAAAAGGGTGCACGACGCATGGACGCTTTTTTGAATCGGGCAGGCTTAGCGACGAAAATTGGTCGACAAAGCAGGAGCGGAGGGCCTAACTACCGAAGAGGCTGCCCTTGCGGGTGCTGTGCCACTTGGAGGTTCATGGGTAGTTATGAGTAGGGTTATAAGAAGGGTAACTACACTTATAACCCATATTATGGGACTTATAACCCCACTTATAGCTACCCATGAACCTCCAAGCATGTCCCTTTCAGGAAAGCGGCATCTGCAGGAAAATCAGGGTAGCACGATGCTTCCTACTCTCCGAGGCGCCGAGGGCTGTCGGGCTTTCGTTTGGGCTTCGGGCACTCTCCGGGGTTTAGGGTTTAGGGTTTAGGGTTGAGGGTTTAGGGTTTAGGGTTTGGGTTCGTGACGTCTGGGTTTCGCGCTTTCGGGCTTAGGGTGCGGTTGAGGGCTTCGTTCGAGCTCCAGGGGCTTAGGGTTAGACTGGGATTTATAGAGTCTAGGGTTTAGGGTTTAGGGTTTAGGGTTTAGGGTTTAGGGTTTAGGGTTTAGGGCTTAGGGTTAAACTGGGATTTAGAGTGTAATAGGGTTCGAGGAATCAGGCGTGACTGAGGTTCACGTTTCAGGGTCTTGGATGCAAAGGTCTGGGGCCTTGTGGTGCCGCATTTTTCATTTAAGTTTTATTGCTACAGGAGAGCGTTTGGGGCTTTTGTAAAGCCCTTAACACGGTTTCATAAACCCTAAGTCCATCAACTCTATTAAACCCTATACCTGCAACCCGAAACCCAACAAAGCAGTAGGATATAACCCCTTAGTTACAAAAACCGCCCCCAAAATCCTGTAGAAGGCCTCCCGCAAACTTGAAAACCGTAAACACCTCAAGCCCTAAACCCTAAACCCTACTACACCCCTGAAGCCCTAGACCCTCTTTTATACACCCCTAAAGCCATAAACTCTAAACCCTATACACCCTAAAGCCCTAAAGCCTAAACCGTAAAGCCTCAAAGCCCTAAAAATAATAACACCTTTAAGCCCTAAGCCCTGCAGCCCTAAAGCCTAAACCCTATAAGCCCTAAGCCCTAAACCCTAAACCCCAAAGCCCCTAAACCCTATAAGCCCTACACCCTAAAGCCCAAACCCCTATAAGCCCTAAACCCTATAAGCCCTATGCCTTAAAGCCCAACCCCTATAAGCCCTAAACCCTAAAGCCCAAACCCCAAAGCCCCAAAGCCCAAAAGCTCTGACCCCTAAGCCCTAAACCCTAACGCCCAAACCCCTTTAAGGAGCCTATAAATCCCTTTATGGGAAGCGGAGCCCCAAAGCCCTAAAGCTCTACCCTAAACCCTAAACTTAAACCCTATAAACCCTATAAACCCTATAAGCCCTAAACCCTAAACCCTAACGCCCTAAAGCCCTTAAACTCCTTTAAGGAGCCTATACATCCCTTTATGGGAACCCTTTTAAGGCGCCCCAAAGCCCTAAAGCCCTACCCTAAACCCTAAACTTAAACCCTATAAACCCTATAAACCCTATAAGCCCTAAACCCTAAACCCTAAACCCCAAAGCCCCAAAGCCCTAAAGCTCTGACCGCTTGGGTCAGTCGACTCCCGGCTCATCATCGCTCGCGATCTCCGCCGTCGGGTCCGTCCGAGCCTCCGAGGAGAAGGGGCTTCAAAAAGGGTTTAGGGTTTAGGG